TCCATGAATGAAGCACCAGATCAGCTGCATAATGTAATTTAGAGTACTCAGTGTCTAATAAGAACAGGGCTGCATACGAGGAAGAGCTGCAGATGTGGATTACTAATGGTTGACGGATACCATATCCCCAGGAATGGCTACAGCCCCACAAGGGATCGATTCTACTGATTGCCATTGCGCAGCCCACTAAAGACAAAGTGTGACTGGTAATAGATTACAGGGAACTGAACCCACATGTGGATGCCTTCACCAAAAACACAGATGTGTGCACCGCCAAATTAAGGGAATGGCACCAGCAGGGTGTTAATGTAGCTCTGCTGGACTTGCGTAGAGCATACCTGCAGATAAGTGTTCATGAGTCACTGTGGCCATTTCAGACAGTACTAATTAAAGGAAAGAGATATTGTCTGACACACTTGGGATTTGGCCTCAATGTGGCACCTCTAATAATGAAAGCTATCATCAATGCTGTGTTGATGCAAGACGAGTCAATGATGAAAGCTACATCAGCCTATGTTGACGATATATGTCAACAAGGACATAATATCTGCAGATGAGGTCTGAACAGGGCTAGAATCCTTCGGTTTGATCATTAAGGATCCTGAGCACCCAAAGGATGGTGCTTTTGTATTAGGCCTTGAGGTCTGTGGAGAGCACAACACTCTGCAGTGGAAGCGAGAGAGCACAGTTCCAGAACTCTCTGTCACACTGATATGACGCACAATATTCTCTATTTGTGGTAAGCTGGTAGGACATTTTCCTGTCTACGGATGGCTCTGAGCAGCAACCAGAGTAATAAAAAGACATGGTAGCATAGTAACGAAGGGGTGGGATGACATAGTGAATGACAATTCTCCCAAAAAATGATGGCCAACATAGTAATCAAAGTATATCAAAAGGACCCTGCCTGTGGTGATTGGTGTGTGGCTGAATATAAATTAAATGCATGGTATGACACAAACTCCTTGGCAACAGGTGTAGTGTGCAGCATAATAATTTGGCTCAACTTGACGCCATGCTGAAGGGCCTTAATCTCGCACTACAATGGTGCATCTCCACATGGACTATATGTTTACCACTGGCTGACTGACAGGCAAGGTGCGAATCAGGACGAAAGCCACAAGTGAGATGTTGGTGTGGAGGAGATTGGCAATCATAAAACAACTAGTTGACATCATGCTGATTGCATCAGAGTAGAATCTAGCAGATAAACTGACCCAAGTGCCTAAGTAGTAGCTTGATATGATGAGACAAGGATCCAACCCCTCACCACTGATGTGTGCTGTTGTGACAGACCAATTAACACCAGAGCAGATCTGTGCCATACACCGACAAAGTGGACATGCTGGTGCTCCTTGTACCATCTACTTTGTTCGAAAAGCGTGTCCCTAAACTACAAAAGTCATTAATAAATTGACCTTATGAAGTTGTGAAGAGTGTCAAATGGTGGACCCAGCCCTGGTCTGTTGGTGAAAAGGAAAACTCAGCATGGACAACAATTGGTGCTGGTTGGGTATGGACGTAATGCACTACAATGGCAGTTACTTTTTAACACTGACAGATTGTGGCCTGTCAGGTTTCACCATATGACACCCATTGGCGCATCAAGCATCATACAACAACTAAGATCTGTCTGTTATGAACGCGGCCCACCAGTTGAAATATTAACTGACAATGCTCCAACCTTTCATGGTCAAGAATTTCAGACCTTTGTAGATGAATGGGGAGTAAGAATGCAATACCGGTGTGCCTATGTCTCAGAGGGTAATGGTATAGCTGAGCGATGCCACCACACTGTCAAAAGAATTGCTGTCAGAACGCAGTACTCTAATCAAGAGGCTGTGTACTGGTACAACATGACACCATCAACTGCACCAGCCAATAGAATCTACCAGTACAAGCAGCGGGTAAAAGGGATAGATGTAGCACCATTGCCTACTGAAAGAATAGATGATCCATATCAAGTGGGAGACTGTGTCTGGGTTAAAACCACGAAGAGCTGATGCACTAGTAGATTTTGCAAGGAACAAATCGATAAAATAGTTAGCCAATAAACAGTACTAATTAATGGTGCACCATACCATATGAAAGGTCTTCGCTCTTGTTATGTATCAACTGCATTGGAGTAAGATGTAGGAAGTAGTGCGTCATCTGAGAGTGACACTAGGACTCTGCTGACTCTTAGAACAGAATTGGGCAATCCAGCTACAGACCATAACAGAGTCATCAGATAATGATGACGATGACAGTGAGAAGACTAAGAATGAAGGAGATCATACAGGCACTGACACGGGAGGAATGCAGTCAGAAGAGCCATCTCCACCCCTACGAAGTACTTGGAAAAGGTGGTTACCATCGCCCTGCTACTTATGTGATAGGGAGGAGTGTAGTTAGAGAACACACTTACCATGCTGGGTAAAGCAGACATGGACATGTTTGGCATGTAAATCCAACATGGCTGACATCATGAGGAAGCAACAATGTCACACATGGTCACAAGGAGCGACCATTTGCAATCACCCCACTACACATGTGTGACACTACATTTTTGGACTGTGCAGTTGATTTCTAGTGGGTTTTTTTTGTATTGGGATTTTTGACATTGGACCTATATTTTCTTACTGGATTTTGCAATTTGTTTGTTTTGTTTTAAACTTAAGCTATCATATTAACTTTATAACAATTTAAATGTAAATTTGTTACAAATTTCACACCAGAGTAAGAGTCTTGTGTTTTTTCATTTGCACCTATAATAATAGTTGGGATAAAAAAAAAAATTGACATTCTCTCTTCTCTCCCGCCCAAAAATCCTTTTAATTTTTCTGGATTTTTCTCAGACTTATGCTTGAAACTTGAAGTTCAAAGATTCTTGCATAAAAAATACAACACAAAAGTACATTTCCGTTTAAATATTAACTTAATTTTTTTAATATCTTTGAGAAGTCTGCCCCACTGGTCAATGTTTTTGTTCTCCCATCTTATAACAGCTTTCCCCGTCATAAAGGGATTCGAACAGATTAGGATTTATTTAACATTGTACTAAATCTAAAATCTAAATCCTTATTAGATTGCTTAATTTTTTTTACCGAATAGCTTTTTTTTTCTTTTTTTTTTTTGTTAAGTAATTTTTGAGCTATTTCCTTCCAAACAAAAAATCATCTCTTGTCTTAAATTCAATCATTGTGGACAATTCAATGCATTGAAGAATAGCAAAAAGTTAAAACCTATTTTTTAAGCAAATTTATTATTAAATTTATTATTGCGGTGGACAAGAAGAGTAAGTAAAAATTACTTTGGAAGGGGTAAAAAAAAAAAAAATCCTAATTTTGTAGGGTGTAAAATAATGTCAATGAAGGGATTTTTGTTTTGATGTATTTGAATTTTAGGAACTAAAAACAAAATTTACCTTTTCTTTCAAGAGACAGCCTAAGATTCTTAACCTTAAGTTATTTTATGTTGGCAACCGGGCAGGACAAGTAGACATGCATTCATTACAAAACCAATTCACATCACACGTAATAATCAAAGGTGGAGGAGAAGGATCGAAAGAGAAAGAAGGTTGTTTGTTAACACGTGCAGCAGAGGAACTAAAAATCAATCATAAACACCTGATCAATACATTAGATTAGCGAACAACAGTCTGTCGAAGGTAGGGAAAAAAAATAAGAAAGAAACGTAATAGACTTGTAAACGGAAACGGCCACAATTTTCTTGGGGCGGAGCAATCATTCGGTAAACGTAAATTAGTCTTCTCCTTTGTTTTTGTTGTTGTAATTATTTACTTCCCTAGTAACATCTCCATCCTTCTTCAGCTCTGACGTCGTTAATTCATCATTTTTTTCTCATTTAAATCTAACAACCTCCTGACCGGTCAAACGAAAAAGACTGATCTCAAACATGAAAAAAAAATAAATAAATAAATAAATAAAAATAAATAAATAAATAAAAAAAAAAAAAAAAAAAAAAAAAAATCAAGAAAATGATAAATAACATTTCATTTCATTTTTAGTTCATTATGATTGAAAACAGCACTACATACTTCCACAACAAACATGAGTTACAATTGTCTCCGGTACCGTTACCATTAACAATCAAAAATCGAAGTATATTTAAAGTAAACTAAATTACGTAACTCACTAAGTAAGTGTACTATACTATTGATTGGATTTTAAAAACAAAAAAATTAATTGAATTTTTTTTTTTTTTTTTTTTAAGAAGGAATGCAATAGAAACTTTTCAGGATTTAAATTTGAAAAAGTAGCTTCTTGTCTCGGGTTTCTAATTCTGACATTAAGCAACTTGGTAACTTTGTTGGTTCCCTCAAAGAAAAAAAAAAGTGTCCATAAATTGACAGGATATGACGTCATAAGGGTAACATTCCCAAAATGGCAGCGCACATTTATTTCCATGTGTTTCACTTAAGGATATTTTTAATTTAATTTGCTATTGTAAACAAAAAAAAAAAAAAAAGACAATTCTTAGTTCTTAAGAGGAAATTGGAAATTATATTTCCAAAGTTTGGGTTTCTAACAAACCCCAAATTCTTCACACTTTCATTTCATTTATTTTTATTCAAACATGGAACAAACAAAAAAAAACAAAAGGAAAAAAAAATCTATCTGCTATATCTGAATTAATTAATCTCAAAGATACATTAAGTCTAATTAAAATCAAATCAATGAATTAATTTGTAGGGCATTTTTCGTTCACTCCATTAAAAATTAATGCAAAAAATTTAAAAATAATTATGACAAGTAAAAAGTAAAAACGTTTTTTGTTTGTTTGTCAACAACAGTAAATTTTTGTTTGACTAGACTAGCTTCTTGGCTTTGTTTTGGTTTCATCAAAGAAATTAAATTTAATGTAAATTTTAAATTAAGCGTTTGAATTTATTTAAGTTGATTTGTAAGTTCTGAATTTAAAAAGAAAGAAAAAAAGACATCCCAGAAAAGAACAAGGATAAATTAATAATTTAAAAGAAGAGGAAATTTAGATATTACCTGACCAAAAGAGAGGATAACATTTTCGCGATATCACATCCACCTCATAAAGACCCCCACGCACAACAATCATCTCCACAGTTTTATCCGGGTCGGAAGCAGTAACTACCAACTCCCGGTATTTGAATTCGACCCTCAACGAATCGTATCCTATGAACGGAATCCATTTTTTCTTGGAAGCATCCCTATACATCCACCTTACATCTTCCGGGTGAATTTCTTCCACAGTCTCTGATTTCGGGAACAGGTATTTTTTAAGATGAGCTGGAGGAGGCTGAGGTTGTCTTCGGGGCCATCGTGACGTTGTAGGCGTTGGTGATGTTGCTCTTGCCCCACAAGACTGACCACTGTCCGAACCTCTAGCATCATCTACCTCTTCTTCTTCGTCCTCTTTAACAGTTAAACCTATTGATGACACTTCTTCATTGCCATCGTCTACAACGACCACAATGTCACTTTCTAGCCGGGTTGTCGAATCTTTCACTGTTTCATTTCTTCTTCTTTCTCCGTCTTTATTGTCTCCTTTCTCTTTTTCTTTTGCTTCTTCCTTTTCTTCATGTTCTTTTTCTTCTTCTGACTCTTCTTCTTCTTCTTCTTCATCATCATCATTGATGTGTTGTTGCCTGTTGTTGTCGTCGTGGCCAGCGGCAAAATAAGACATAAAAGACGACAACGGATTCATCCAGTTTCTCTACTGAAAACAACAATAACAAACTGGTCGGAACAGTGAAACCGAGGAAAGGGGTGGGAGGGAAGTGCCCAAGAAGAGGATTTTTCAGGTCTCCTCAAAAAGACAAAAATAAAAATGGCTAAGATCTAGTAATCTGTCCATCAGCCAAAATGAAGATTGCTTCACTAATTAAAAAAAAATGACCCAAATGATCCAACCCTTCATTCATATAACTACCGAAAAGCAAGCAGTCGCAGCTTACAAGATTTAAACTTAGGTCACGTGACACCTAATGTCGGTTGATACCTTGGCTCGGTTGCTGCTAGGATTCACTGCCTCTCATAACGCTAGCTACGTAATAGTCAAGTCAATTGCAATGCCTTAAGTTAAAAGAAATCTTTCAGAATTTAAACGTTTTAAGATTAGAAAACATCAGGTTTTCAGATGTTTTCCTTTAAAATTTTGCCAGTAAAATAGTTATTTAATTAACAGTTTCGTTAGATAACTGAAATAAAATTAATATTAAACCAAGTTATTGTTTTAAAGAATTTTTTAGCGAAATAAGTTCATAATTTTATTTTTATAACTTTTTTAATATTTATGCTGAATTTTTATGTCTCTAAATGGGAATAGATAGGTTCGCCTATCATCTGCTTCACACTCCTCGGTCTTCTGAGCAGGAGTAGAGGTTCATCGTTTGATCCCTGTTTAGAATTGTGTTTCCAGTTCCTTCTAAAAAAAAAAGCTTTCTCATTCATTCTATTTCACTCCCAGTGTAGTCCCTTCTTGGGTCTTACTCTTAGTGACATTCTTGCTTGGGCTGAATTGATTAAAAAGAAAAAGTAATGTTATGGTTTGTTTTATGTCTAGTTATAGGAATGATTTATTTTCTAAACATGGTCAGCACATTGTGACTGTTCATAGTTGATATTATTGACCTATCAAATTCTACCTGTAACATACTCGTTGATAATACAAATCCTCATCAACATGTAAGAAATGGCTAAAAATAATGGAAGCATTATTAATAAATAAAAAAGCCAACACTCATTAATATCAACTATGACCATGGCCACAATGTGTTGAAAATAATTCCTGATAATGGCTAAAGCCGAAAGTGCTCCAAAAATATTCAGACAATTTTTATATAATTTATGTCCTGAAAAGAAAAAAAATTATATGAACACATGAAAAATTATATAAAAAACTCAACCACCACACTTTGTCAGTCATTGTCAATGAAACTTGCATAAAAGAGGGATTGCTTTCTAAATACACAATTTATATATATATTAATTACACAACAAAATCCCAAATTATCTCATATAGGCATAGGCGTCAAAATGGGTAGGTTCTATATCAATTTTTCAACTGCTGTCAAAGTTAAATTTAAAATCTCTAATTCCGACATGAATACAATCTATACACCGGGGTTGAATAAAACTGATATACTTTGTGTTGGTTGAAATAAATCATCCATCTGATGTAATTTTGGATTTTGTTGTGTAATTTATATTCTTTTATAATAAATACATTGAGCTCTTTTTGTGGATCTGTTTTAATATTTGATATTACTAGGATCCACTTGGATTATATACCAAGGGATTTATTACCTGTACTATATATATATATATATATATATATATATATATATATATATATATACATACAAGTATAGGATTGGTGTATACGGAATAAATTCCAATAACTAACAATTACTATTCTTAAAAGAGTGCTCAATACATAGTAGAGCAGATATAATTATTCATTTAAAAATTATAACATAAATATGTTATAAAATCACTACAAAAATAGCCTCCAGTGTCTTATCATTTGATGATGTTGAATGTAGAATAAATGGTTTTAAAGGTTTCAAATTAATTAACGATCCTTCGCAAGGGAAAACGCTGTTACATAAACTAGAATGACCAACAAAACACAAGTATACGAGAATTCAAAAAACTTGACAATGAAGTAAGGTTATAATAGCTATTAAAAGCTTTAAAGTTGGGGTTATACTAAAATAGAATTTATTCTAACCAATAAGTATTAAATTATATGATAAAATTTGATATTAAAATTAAAAGTAAAAAATTACCAATTTTAAAATCTAAATTTAATCTCTATAAAGTTTAAAATTATAAAATTACTGAGGAGAAAAGAGAAAATACATATGTTATTCAATTTATTTTTTCATTGAAATTATGTTAGAATAGACGCTAATATCGCCTGGTCTTCCTGACAAAATGTATACATTTTAATTCCAAGTGTGTGAGTGGGATGCTAACTACTCGCGTAAAACAATCGAAGAACCTATTCACTTTGGCCTTGAATTTTGCTCAGGAATACTCCAATATTTCTGAGAGTGAAGTGGATATTATCATGAAATGCTGAAATAAGCATAAGACACTGGAGGTGTGGAAACAAAATGGCTATTTTTGTAGTGATTTTATAACATATTTATGTTATAATTTTTAAATAAATAATTATATACACATATATATATATATATATATATACATGAAAATTTCTCCGATTTAATCGGTAGAGAAGACAATATTTATGAATAAAAATGACAATAGGAAAACTGGTAATTGCTGACGCGTTTCGTCCAATGTGGACTTTATCAAAGCAAAATACGAAAATGAAATTAAATGAACAAAGTAACTAATAAAAACAAAAACAGAATGGCCCTAGCAACTGGAATGTAGAGAAACGCTATTTTCATATTTTTTAACTGAAAAATAACGTCAGAGATTGTCACGTGTGGAGAATATTGTCATTATATCTGTGTTGATGTATTCAACCATTTTCTTTTCAATTTTATGAATCTGTTGTGCATATTTGTTTGTAAGAGCATTAATTTTGTTAAGAAAGGTGAAATAGGGAAAAAAAAGGCGTAAATTAATATTTGGGTAATTTTCTGTGGTGGCACTCTCCAGAATTTTCCTTCTGAGTGAGTTATTTTCTTTTTTTATGAGTGTAGCATTTTAAAATCAAATTATGGTTGTATTTATTTCTATGTCATACATAGAAATAAATACAACCATAATTTTGCCGCCATAGAAAATTACCCAAATATTAATTTACGCCCAGGCTTTTTCCCTATTTCACCTTTCTTAACAAAATTAATGCTCTTACAAACAAATATGCACAAATAGATTCATAAAATCGAAAGAAAATGGTTGAATACATTAACACAGATATAATGACAATATTCTCCACACGTGACAATCTCTGACGTTATTTTTCAGTTAAAAAATATGAAAATAGCGTTTTCACATTCCAGTTGCTAGGTACATTCTGTTTTTTGTTTTATTAGTTACTTTGTTCATTTAATTTCATTTTCGTATTTTGCTTTGATAAAGTCCACATTGGACGAAACGCATCAGCAATTACCAGTTTTCCTATTGTCATTTTTATTCATAAATATATATATATATATATATATATATATATATATATATATATATATATATGTATGTAAAAAAATTTTAAATAATGGAAGCATTAATAATAAAAAGAAAAAGCCAACACTCCATAATATCAACTATGAACATGGTCACACTATGTTAACCGTGTTTGGAAAAAAAACATTCACATCACTATAGATACACATATATGAAAATATACATATTCAGTTAAGAATAAAATAAAATATTCTTAAAAAAACATCCTTGATAATAGAATAGCCGAAAGCACTTGGATATATAAAACACTCAGACAGTTTTTTACAGGCTCTATGTTCAGAAAAAAGCACTTATATGAACACAAGAGCAATTGAATAAAAAACATAATCACAGTATTTTGTCAGCCATTTTTAATGAAATTTATATATATATATATATATATATATATATATATATATATATAATTCATGCTTCTAAAACTACTCAGTGTGGCTTTTAAAGAGTTCAATGACAGCATATACGTTATCAAGCAACTCCAGGAAATTGCATACTTATTAAATAGAAAATTTTATACCTGTTATATTGATCTCAGAACAGCATATGACCGCATCAATAGAAACTTCCTATTCTCTGTAAAAATTTATGTGAAAAAATTACAATTCTTTGCTCCTTACCTATTACCTAAAAGTAAAAAATTTAATAACCAATGAGATGTTTGGACAGTTTTTTCTCGATATGCCTTGATTGGAACCTGTTTTTGTGTCATTATAAAATTCTAAAAAAAAAATTGAGAAGGAAAATTTTTCCTTTGGTTTTCTCACCAATCAAAGGCAAGGTATTCAAAGTTATGATAATTTGAAATGTTAACTGAGTGATCCTGGGGACCCAAATATAAACAAGGTCACTGACTGGTGAATATCACTTTTCATTCACACATTGTTGGGATGATATAGTCATAAAGAAGATAGGACAGCTTTTGAAACTGAGAACAAAACTAACAATTTGTTCTGAAACCAACTTTAAAGAAGCACAAGATCAATCTTTCATCATATTGTTGCGACAAAAACACCTCTTTTAGGCCTTCCTCACCTACACTATTCTTCATGCCCGCTATGTTTGACCTTGACTGCTGACAGGTCTAAATTTTGCAACTTCTAGAGGACTGTGTCTTTTTAAGAATATTTTATTAATCCTAAGTCCTAATTTTCATATAAACATTATCTCTTTCCCCAGCTAATTTTCATTTGGCACTCAAAGAATATTTTGAACAAGCCATTATATACTTTCATTCCCAATTTAAATCTAATTGGAAATAAATTCTTTCTGTTCAATTTCACACTGAGTAAGAGTCCTTCTTATTGTGCAAACCAAATAACCACATTGATTTTTTTTTATTGAAATAAGATTCCAGTATTGCATCCATTAGAAACTGTTTTTCAATCTGACACCACTGAATGTCTTGATCTGATAGAGGAACTATAATATAATACTGAATCATTTCAAACACCAGCAAGAGTATGACAAGGAGGAAATGTGCACCCCAGTCTATTTCATCTCTTACTAGATTATACTCTGCATGTGTACACATGTACAGAAGTGAAG